AGTACGTAATTATAGACTTTAAAGGACTTATTTCATCTGAGCGGTGGTGGGACACGCCTTTAATCTGAGCACTCGACTTGGGAGGTAGAGCCAGGACGATCTCAGTGAGTTTGAGGCCAGCCTGGTCTCTAGAGCAAGTTCCAGGACAGCCAGGACTTTTACACAGAGAAATCCTGTCTCAAACAACAAAACGAAACTTCCAGAGTCCAGCTCCAGCAGGGTTCAGGTCCCAAAGAGGAGACATGGAGCTGGCGAGGGAAGGAGACTGACAGGATCTGAGAGGGAATCGTGATGGCTGCCTGTTTATTGAAAACGGGCTACACTTTATATACTCTACAGTTACGTTATAGTGTGAGCACAATCAACACTGAAAGCCAGCGATGGTTCTGGGGTGAAAGAGGTCATCAAGACCATTACAGCAAACAAGACTCTAAATGCCCTTTGGCCCCTAAATATTCAGTCATCCCATCAGGGTTTTTCCTGAAGCAAAAGGCAGTAAGTTCAGCAAGAATCTAAATGACTTTTGTCCTCTAAGTTTCAGTAACCCCACCAGGCACCCTCTCACACTTCCTCCTGCAAAGTCTCAGCCTTTGTGATCGGGAGATGTCAGACATTAAAGCTTGAGAAACAACCTGTAAGAGCAACTTTTATTCCTCAAGCGACACGATGCAGCATTTGTACCGTGTAGCACAGCAAACATAGAGTTGTGTCCTAATTGCATTCCTTTGTGCCTTAGTCTTATAATATGGCCTGTTTCCCTCATAAGCTCCCAAAAGGGAAGGTCCTGACACATTACTCTTTCTCCATTATACTATGCCATTCTGATTCCTTCAATGTGCACTCCTATATATGGCAGAAGGGAATCAAGCCAGTCTAACTTTTTAACCAAATCTTTTCTCTGTGGGGCGAACTAAATCTTGCCATACATCCAGTAAGCCACTAATAGTGAGCACTATTCTACACTTATTAACTGAACCCTTGCCCTAAACGGCCTCAGGCTCTGGATCTGTAACCACTGTTCCTCTCGATTGTGTGTTTTTCATCTCTGGGACCAGGTATGCCCAGTTAATAAATCTTTAACTTCTCTATTCTTGTTGTAATCAGGGGGCATAATGGGGAGTCTTGTATGGGAAGTAGGCAGAGTTATCATGCTATATAGTTCCACAGTGGCAGTGATTTGTCTGTTTAAAGAGACTGCCATTGTATATATACATTTATATATGTATATATACATTCTATTTATTTATTTATTATGTATTCAGTATTCTGTCTGTCTGTATGCTTGCTGGCCAGAAGAGGGCATCAGATCTCGTTACAGATGGCTGTGAGCCACCATGTGGTTGCTGGGAATTGAACTCAGGACCTCTGGAAGAACGATCAGTGCTCTTAACCTCTGAGCCATCTCTCCAGCCCCATTGTATATATTCTTATCCTTCACCAAAGCTCATGCAAAGTTTCCCAAAGGAACAGGCATAAGGAAACTCCCATAACACATAATGAGAATCATTACAAATGAAAGTAAATGAGCTGGATAGGTGGCTTAGTGGTAAAGAGCTCTGGTCACTCTTCCAGAGGACCCAGGTTCAATTCCCAGTACCCACAGGGCAGCTCACAGTTCTCTGTAACTCCAGCTCCAGGGGATCTGACAGCCTCACACAGACATATATGCAGGCAAAACACCAATGAACATTTTTTAAAAATCCTAGAAGGTAAAAGGGTGCTGGAAAGTTGTGATTTGCAATGTCAAAATGCTGGAACTTCGTCAAGGAACAGTGGTTGCCACGAAGTCCACAAAACAAAACAGAACAAACAGCTTTAGCCTGGCAGTGGAGGAGCACATCTTTAATCCCAGCACTCAGGAGGCAGAGGCAGGAGGATCTCTGAGTTTGAGGGCAGCCTGCACTACGCAGTGAGTTCTAGGATAGCCAGGGACATACAGAGAAACTCTGCCTCAAACCAAAGCAAATTTATTCTCTCTCTCTCTCTCTCTCTCTCTCTCTCTCTCTCTCTCTCTCTCCTTGTGCAAAGCCCTTAGAGGCCAGAAGAGGGCATCAGATCCCTCGGAACTGATTGGAACTGGAATTACAGGTAGTTGTGAGCTACCTGAAGTGGGTGCTGGAATTCTTTTCTTTTTTTATTTCTTTTTTTTTATTTTAAAAATAATCTTATTTTACATACTATTCCCAGTGCTCTCTCCTTCCCTTCCCTTCCTCCTGCTACCCCCACCTTCTCCCCACTCCACCCCCTTCCACCCCTCAGAGAGGGTGGGTCCTCCCATGGGGAGTCAACAATGTCACAACATTTGAGGCAGGACCAAGGTCCTCCCCCTGTATCTAGACTGAGCAATGTATCCCTCCATAGGGAATGGGCTCCAAAGAGCCAGTTCATGCACTAGGTATAAATATTGGCTCCACTGCTAGTGGCCCCACAACCTGCCCAAGCCACACAACTGTCACTCACATTCAGAAGGCCTAGTTCAGTCCTATGCCAGTTCCCCAGTTGTCAGCTCAGAGTCGGTAAGCTCCCACTTGCTCAGGTCAATTGTTTCTGTGGGTGTCCCCATCATGGCCTTGGCCCCTTTGCACACATTATCACTCCTCCCTCTCTATGGCTGGACTCCAGGAGTTGGCCACAGCTCTTAACTGTAAATCTCTGCATCTGCTTCCATCAAATACTGGATGAAGGTTCTATGATAACAATTAAGGTAGTCATCAATGTGATTACAGGGGAAGGGCAGTTAAGGTACCCTCTCCATAGGGTCTTAGCTGGGGTCATCCTTGTGGATTCCTGGGAATTTCCCTAGTGCCTGGTTTCTCGCTAACCCCATAATGGCTCCCTCTTTCAAGGTATCGCTCTCCTTGCTCTCCCTCTCTGTCCTTCTCCTAACTCGATCTTCCTGATCCTTCAAAGAAGACCTCAACATAAATCCAGCCATACTGAACCTCATAGAAGAGAAAGTGGGAAGTAGCCTTGAACGCCTTGGCACTTTCTGAATATAACCCCAGTAGCAGAGACACTGAGATAGACAAAAAATGGGACTTCCTGGAACTGAGAAGCTTCTGTAAGGCAAAGGACAGTCAGCAAGACAAAAAGTCAACATACAGAATGGGAAAAGATCTTCACCAATCTCACATCCAACAGAGGGCTGATCTCCAAAATATATAAAGAACTCAAGAAACTAGATATCAAAATATCAAATAATCCAATTAAAAATGGAGTACAGATCTAAATAGAGAATTCTCAACAGAGGAATCTTAAGTGTCAAAAGACACTCAAGGAACTGCTCAACATCCTTAGCCATCAGGGAAATGCAAATCTAAACAACTCTGAGATACCATCTTACACCTGTCAGAATGGCTAAGATCAAAAACACTGATGACAGCTTATGCTGGAGAGGTTGTGGGGTAAGAGGAATGCTCCTCCATTGCTGGTGGGAATGCGAACTTGTACAGCCACTTTGGAAATCAATATGGCAGTTTCTCAGAAAATTGGAAATAAATCTACCTCAAGACCTAGCAGTTGCCGGGCGATGGTGGCGCACGCCTTTAATCCCAGCACTCGGGAGGTAGAGGTAGGCGGATCTCTGTGAGTTCGAGACCAGCCTGGTCTAGAGAGCTAGTTCCAGGACAGGCTCCAAAGCCACAGAGAAACCCTGTCTCGAAAAACCAAAAAAAAAAAAAAAAAAAGACCTAGCAGTAGCACTCTTGGGCATATACCCCAGGACATTTGATCAACCATGTTCATAGCAGCAGTATTTGTAAATAGCCAGAACCTGTAAATAACCTAGATGCGTTCAACTGAAGAATGGATAAAGAAAATGCCGCAGATTTACACAATGGAGTACTACTCAGTGGCAAAAAAATAACGACATCTTGAAATTTGCAGGCAAATGGATGGAACTAGAAAAAAATTCACCCTGAGTGAGGTAACCCAGACACAGAAAGACAAACACTATGGTATGTACTTATATGTTAATTTTAGACATAAAGCAAAGGATAACCAGCCTATAGGCTACAACTTCAGAGAGGACAAGAAACAAGAAGAACCCAAAGAGAAACACACATGGATCCCCCTGGGAAGAAGTAGACAAGGTCTCCTTAGTAAATTGGCAGCATGGGGGGAGGGGAAAGGGTAGTAGGAGAACAGTGAGGGGAAAAGGGGAGCAGGGTGCTAAAATTCTAATTCTGGTCCTCATGACTGAGCAGCAAGTGCTCTTAACCACCAAACCATCTTGACTTTTTAGGGGTTATGTATGAAATACAAAATACTAGGAAAGATATTTGGGGTGGGTGCAGTCCTGAGGATTGAAACCAGAACCATGCTAAGGCCACGAGCTAGGTAGGCTTCCAAAGAATACTTTTATTTTTTATTTATTTATTTATGTATTTTATTTATTTATTTATTTTGTTTTTTTTGGGATAGGGTTTATCATTAGCTTTGGAGCCTGTCCGGAAACTAGCTCTTTTAGACCAGGCTGGCCTTGAACTCACAGAGTGCTGGGATAAAAGGCGTGTGCCGTCACCGCCCAGCCCCAAAGAATACCTTTATAGCTAAATATTTGCATGATCACATTCTTCATTTCCTGGGAAGATTCTGTAAAAATGTAACTTCTGAATCCAAGACTGCTTATTTGCGATTTAAAAATATTTTTGGATAAATTTTAGATTCACAACAAAATTTAGCTTAAAATTCAGAGTCCTCATATGCCTCCTGGCGACCTTCTTTCCCTCTTCCCAACAATCTGATGTTTTTGTTTTCTTCTGGTGCTGAGGGTCTGGTCCTGTCACCTCCCACATGCTAGGCAAGGTTCCATACACGCTTTTTGGTTCTTTTGATTTATGTGAAAGCTTTTAGGGAAGTATGCAAAGACACGGGAAACAAACAAGCACTGTGATTTATTAAATCATGATTAAATAGTTTAGGGCACAGGTGTCAAAATAAAAACTACATTTCCCAGCGTGCAATGCATCACGTCACAGAGAAGTATCGGGCATGCGCAAAGGAGTCCTCCGCGCTCGACCGCGCTCATAAGAGAAACAGCGTGTGTGGTTCTTGACGTGCCGCGAACCTTCGAACACAAGTGCCATAGTACCCTGTGAAGAAGCGTTCCAGCGACTCTCCTATTCCCGCTATCGCAGTCACCAGCGCGACGTGCTGTTTCGCCCTAGACTCGGTAGGTGGGACGGGACCATGGCAAGACACTTCCGAGCAGCGCGGGAACGAAGGGCCAGCGTTCCTGCCCGGCGCCCGGCTCGCTGAGTCGGCTTCGGAGCTGACGCGCAAGCGCTCTGGACGGGGAAGGGGGCGGGGCTGTGGGGGGGGGCTTCGCCCGGCTCCCTAGGTCTGCGCGTGCGCCCTGCGTCCCTGGCGAAGTGGGACGGCGCTGGAGCTGGCTCGACTTGGGGCGGGCACCTAATGAGGTCCTCGGCCTGAGAGTGCAGCCCGCTCCTCCCCGGACACCGACACTTTTTACGGCTCGCTCAAAAGCTCGTTTGTTTTGAGACGCTCTCACTCAGCCTGGCCTTGACCTCGCGATCGTGCGCCCCCAGCTCCAAGTGCTGAGATTACAGACTTGAGCCACACATTCCCTGAATGTGCACTTTTACACAACAGTAACTTAGCCACCCTTCTGCTCACTCACCTGTCAGCTCACTCTTGCAGCCTAGGGCGGCGGCTTTTACTCATTAGCATCTTCTCCCACCAGTCTCTGTTCGGCTCTCTCCAGAGAAGCCCTGTCTCTTGTCATTCCAGAGAAACAACTCTACCAAAGCCACCTTGACTTCTGGGTTGCCTAGGTCAGTGATGAAGGCTTGGTAACACCCTCTTTCATTGCCTAAAACTCTTGCCCCATTTCTTTAGCTTTAATGGTTGTACCATCGAAATACGTAAACCCTACATCTTGCCTTTCTTTCTGTTCACTCCCCGGGCTTTATCTATTTCACAGTTTAAGTATAAAGGACATTTATTTTGGTGCTAACTCTCGTTCCTATCTTTTTTTGTTTGTTTTTGTTTTTCAATACAGGGTTCCTATATAAGAGCCCTCTCGGTCCAGGAACTCACTTTGTAGGCAGGCCTCGAACTCAAAGAGATCTGCCTGCCTCTCCTCCCAAGCGCTGGGATTAAAGGCATGCACCACCACTGCTTGGCTTTCATTTCTACCTTTTAAAAGTCTTTAGTGTGTGTGTAAAGGTAGTCATGTTCATGCCATGGCATTGTGTGAAGCTCAAAGGACAGCGTGGTTCTCTCCTTCCACCATGTGGGCTTCTAGGATTGAACTCAGGTTGCCAGGCTTGGTGCAAGCTCTTGCATCTGCTGGGCTGTCTCACTGGCCCCTTACCTCGGTATTCTCTTGTAGCGTTCGAATCCACTAGGAAAGACCAAAGACTTAGACTCAATTCAAATTTAGATTAAATGAGTTTATTCTTTCTTTTTCATTTTATTTATTTATTTATTTATTTATTTATTCAAGACAGGATTTCTCTGTAGCTTTGGTGCCTGTCCTGGAACTAGCTCTTGTAGACCAGGCTGGCCTCGAACTCACAGAGATCTGCCTGCCTCTGCCTCCCAGTGCTGGGATTAAAGGCATGTGCCACCATTGCCCAGCTCAAATGAGTTTATTCTTACTACTAGCAGAAGGACAACAACCTTAGAGCCAAACAGCATACCGTGCCAGAGGGGCTAAAGGAAGGATTTACAAAGGTGGATGGATATCAAAAGTGTACATTATAGTCAGCTACGTAATCCATGGCTGGGCAAGAAAATTTGCAACCTTCAGTGTTTTCCTTTCCCATTGTATGGCAATAAAAAGACTACTTCATCCCAATCCCTGAGCAGTAAGCAAGTTTACAAAAGCAGAAGGCAGGAACACCATTATCTTGTTCTTGTCTCACCAGCAGGCCTTTAGGGTCTCACAGGCATTACAGGAAAAGGTAAAGGGCCTGTAAGGGAGGCCTCGTACCATATTCAGTTTCTTTGGCTGTCCCAGGGACGCTGTGTGTAAATGATTAGAGGTCTGGTACTCTGGGGGGAGTGTCAGTAGTTGGGGTAGAGCGGGCCTTCAGGTTAGTGCTGGCTGTCACATCCCCCAACAATTCTACCTTGAATTCAAGACTTAGGTTTATTTGTGCATTTTTATTATTAATTAAAATATTTTTGAAAGGTTTTACGGCCCGATAAACCTCTCCGCCAATGCAATAATCCAAATTAGACCAAATCAAACCAAATTAGAAAAAGCCGAGGTTTAATGGATGCCAGCACTCGGATGCCAGCACTTCCCCTAGGCCCCCAGGGATATAAACAGGAAGGAAGACCAGAACGAAGAGACAACTGGAAAGCCCACATGTTCATTCTCTGGGGAGCAGTTTAAGTAGCCTGTGGGAGTGGTCTTGACCGTCTCTGGGGAGGGGTCACCATTTCCCAGGCTTTCTTAGAGGTGGTATCTGGACTGAGGTAACTCCCAGAGGAGGGGGCCTGGAATGGAACGCTCCATCCAAACATTCCAGACTCCCCAGGCACGTGGATGCCAGGGGCTGGGTGAAGCCTCCAACCAAACAATTTTATGTATTTTTTAATTTGTTATCTTGAGACTGGTCTCCCTTTGCAGCTCTACCTGTCCGTGAACTCATTATATAGACCAGTCTGGCCTGTAACTCACAGAGATCTGCTTGCCTCTGCCTTCCCAGTGCTGGGATTAAAGTCATGGGCTACTATGCCTGGCAACACTTTATTTTTTAAAGATTATTTTCATTTTATGAATTTTAGTATTTTGCCTGATGTATGTTTATACACCACATGCAGAGACCACATGAGGTTATCAGAGCTCCTGAAACTGGAACATGGTTATTAGAAATTGAACCTGCATCTCAGAGGAACAGCCAGGGTCTCTCTCTATAGTCCAGACTGACTTTGAACTCATGATGATCCCCCTCATAGGTCTCATAGGGCTGCAGATTTTTCTGTCCAGCTCTGGCATCATCTCCCCTCTTGAATGTCTAATAGACATTTTAAATGTGGCCCAAACTGAAATTTTTAGTTTTATCCTCACGTGCTCATACTTTTACTAGTGTTCCCGTTCCTCCAGATACTCAGGCTAGGAACTTGGGAGATGTTTGTGGTGTTCCCCCACTCTTCCCATCTTTGTGATAGAGCATAGTTATTCTTGAGGCTTTGAGGGTAGAATTTCTCAGCGCCTAATTGTATGTTGTCATTTTGTACTCTGACTTATCCATGCATAGTTTCCTTTCTGTTGCAGTGATAAGCACCCTGACAAAAACCAACTTGGAAGAGAAGGGTTTGTTTGGCTGACCACTCTGGATTGTAGGCCATCACTGTGGGGCAGCAGATAGTCACAGCTGCAGTCAAGAGCAGAGAGGTGAACTCAGAGTGTCTGCTCGTATTCAGGCCTCTCTCTTCACTTACGCAGTCCAGGACCTAAACCCAGGGAATGATGCCACCAAGAAAGGGTGGTTTTCCCATCTCTGTTAACACAATCGAGATAATCTCTCATAGGCAACCTGATCTAGACATTGAGAATCTTTTCCCAAGTGACTTAGATGTCAAGTTAAAACTAATAACCATCACATATTTATCTTCTCGTGTGCTGATTTCACCATAAGAATAAATACATGGAGCATATGCTCACATAGTGATGAGAATGCACTGTTAGCTGATTTTGTCCTATGACCATTACAGAATGTTCTTATACAACCCTAGATTGTGTAGCTTACTACATACCTGTTATTCCTGGGCTACACTTATACATAGTGTGTTACTATAGCAAATAGTGTAGGTAATTTTCATAAAATGGACAGTATTTGTGTATCTACACAGAAAAGGTTCAGTAAAAATTCTAGGTGAAGGCCAGTAAAATGACTCAGATGGTGAAGGCACTTGTCAAAGCCTGGCAGCCTGCTTGTGACCCACATGGTAGGACGAAAACCAGTAAACACTGTGGCACGTGTTCACACACAGTAAATAAATATTTGATAAAAAGTAGTGAAGTGATGCAAGTTTGAGCTTATAATCTTACATTTTGATTTTTTTGTTTTTTGTTTTGTTTTTTGAGACAGGGTTTCTCTGTAGCTTTGGTGCCCGTCCTGGAACTAGCTCTTGTAGACCAGAGACTGGCCTCGAACTCCCAGAGATCCGCCTGCCTCTGCCTTCCGAGTGCTGGGATTAAAGGCGTGCGCCACCACCGCCCGGCTAATCTTATATTTTGAGTGTTAACTTTTTTGTGTTTTGAGACAGGGTTTCTATGTGTAAGAACCTTGGCTGTCCTAGAACTCCCTCTGTAGACCAGGCTGGCCTCTAACTCACAGAGATCCTCCTGCCTCTGCCTCCTGAGTGCTGGGATTAGAGGCATCTGCCCCCTTACCTGGCAAATATAATAAATATTATAATCTTATACTAAGATTATATTAATAATACTAGATATTCAAGAGGAGATATAATGCTAGATCTGAATATACAAACCTGCATTGTAATCTTATGAGACCACTATCGTAAGTTTGGTCTGTTGTTGGGTGCTGGCATTGTTTGACACGTGGCTGTATTTGTTTAATGTCTATTCTGCATTGCTTTTCTTTCACTACTGCGTACCCTTCATGTCTTCGATAATTTTAAATACTACTGAGTGGAATTATGAAGGGGCAGCACTTCTACATATGTGGGAAGTACAGAGTCTCTTGGAAGATGTTGATGTTTACCAGCCTTTTCTGGAGACAGAGAACTTGAATAGCTTAGCTTCAAACTGTTGCAGTGTTCTAAGCTGAAAGACTGCTCTAAAAGGTGTTCAGGATTCAGCTCTGTTCAGCCATCTGATCTGAAAGCACTGTGTGCCAAGGCATGTGTGGATCAGAGAGACTAGAGCAGCACTCCTGTATTCTCAGAGCTTGTGATCTGGTAGGAGAGCTGACAGTGAAACAGCTCATCATACGCATGAATGACAAGTACAAGAATAGAAGTTTGTTCAGGAGGCTGAGGAATTCAGTCCCAACCTGGGCACAGTGAGGCCCTACCTCAGAAAGAAATAAGCTGGGCATGGTGGCACACACCTTTAATCCCAGCACGGGGGGCGGGGGCTGAGGGAGGGCCAACCTCTGGGAGTTCCAAGTTAGCCAGATCTACATAGTAAGTTCCAGGACAAAACAACAATAAAAACAAAACAAGAATAAC